GCACCCATTGGACATTGTTCACACGTTATGGATTTCCCCGTACATTTGCCTTTAAATATGTTTTTGATCTAGTTACTCCTACTACTTAAGCTCACCGCCCGGCGAACCGGTCTGGCCAACCTGTCCTTACTGCAGCGCAAAAAACATATACCCGGACTGTGCTCGAAACGATATGTTGTAGCAGCGACGTCGCGCAGATGTGGAAAGGGACAAGGTTGCCAGGTTGCTGATTAACTGACTTAATCCGTTTAATTTATCTGATGTACATGCTCGTAACCGACTTTTTTCTCAAAGGATTTAAACTGCGCTGAACTTAATCCTTTCTGAACTGATGACGGCGTTGCGTGAGAAGTGCAGAGTCAACCTACTTGACGCCTTTTTTACCATAGAAAAACATTTTGCTGGCGTGTGAAGCAAACAACAAATCGTTCGCTAGCTTCTTATTGGCCTTATATACACATAGATACATACCCGTTTATCGACTGTTCCGTCAATCTACATCACTGTTTGCTCTTAACAAATAACAGTACGGAAATAGACCTCAAGAGGCATTTTTATTTTTGATGGAACAGCTAAAAAATATAGATCATCTCCAAGTGTCCCGGAAAACGTACAATTAATGAAGTGGGTAGGCTTTTCTCACAATACGATTTGTTGGCAACGATGGGCTTGAAAAATAAAATCGCGGCAACGAAAAATTGGTTATGTGGAATCGTAGATGTATTTGAGAATGGCGTTTTATGTTGTGTGAAAGTAGGTGAGAAACGCCAAAAGCTGACACCGTATCAGCCCATACGCCTAAATTACAGAATTTTTTTCTGGCGCGACACATATTCTTCTATAGTACCTATCCCTTTCACACGTTTTCACCAATTTGTCAACTTACAATTTCCCCCAACGATTTTGCTGTATTTCTCAAACTACTATTGCAAACATACATCTGAATTTTCCATTTTTCACAAATTTTATGATCAATTGAAGTTGCTGGGACAAATCAGGACACATTGTATGAATTTGAACAAAGTGTATACCCATTTTCATCAGCTTTTGGGGATTTGATTTTGAGTCATTGAAATAATAGCTATCGGAAGGAGACATCCCAATTAAAAAATTCAAGGTAGAAAGAATTACATATTTTACGTTCATTTATTTTGAATTATGTTTCTGTTTAACCTCGTGGGAAAGTAATTATGACGCACAGAAACACTGGACGTACAGAAGAGGGAAACAAAACGAAAAACATTTTCTATTATACCACTGCACCAGTTACTCGTTGAATCCAAGCTCTCAAAGATAATTTATTTCCAAGGTTATTAGAATTAATCCGGTCTTTCGTAGTAAAATGGTCAAACGTAATTCGCCGATTTAAATGCTTCGGAGTTGAAGTGTATCATTAATTGGTTGGTTGAAAATTAAGATTAAATTTTACGAAGTTTACGACCCACCGAAGTGTCTCCATTAAGAGCAGCCAAAAAATGGGGCAAGTGTCCCAAAATCCCAAGGGCGGATTTAGAGAGGGCGCTCCCCTAGACGCACAAGTAGGCATATTTTTTTTTTCAAGGAAATGGTATATACGAGTACTACTGTATCTAACCTGACAGACCTGAATCGTGAGATGTATGCTATCCCCGCACTTTAATTGTCACAAGGGCATTTGTTCTCCGAAAATGTTTCAGCCGCCAACCTTCCCCTGCCCGGAGACGTTCCATCGCTGCGCCCCCTGACACGTTCTATTATTAAGAAGCTTCTGGTCCCAGTGATTACAGGAAATTTACGTAACGAACATCCGACGAATAATGTGCTCACGATTTGAAAAAATCGGTACCTGCTCTATAGGTTTGACACCAAGAGCCAACAGATCTATCTGCAACTGCCGACAGTACGGAAGAATAGGGCAATTTAGCGTGGAAGTTTAAAATTATCGATATGTCAAGGAAATATGTTTTTGAAAACGATCATTTCTCTTTGTGCAAGAATTATGGTGGGTTGAAATGCTTACTATTTGTGCTCAACTTCTTGATATTTTAAAACGATCCTAGTGGATAAAATCGAAAAAGTGGATCGTTAGAACCCTGTGGACTTTGTTTTTAGCACGCTGCAAGAGTTTCATTTTAAAATAATAAAAAATGAAACGTAAGCTGTGAAGGGCAAATCGGTTTTTGGGCGAAATTCGTCTACTGTTTCGTGTAGCCAGTCCAAGCGACGCGACGGTGCGTTTCGACTAAGAAAAATTGTATTCAAATAATTTTATATCTTTAGTAAAATAAATTCAAGAACTCAAATTCAAATTCGTTTATTCAAGTCAATAAACACAATTATGTTTACAAGGGTCATGTGGTACATGGTAACAATTGAATTTGGGTCATAAAAATATCTTATGCCGTCAAAATGAGAGGAAACAGTTAGGTAGTTTTTGCAAACCAATAAACAGGGAGGTTTATACCTGGATTAAGTACATTTCTTGTCTACTGTAATAGGTAGATGGAGGCGATGCTGCCAGAAATGGATGTGTGCGATCAATAAACAAACCACAAGATTGAACTGCGGTGTCCAATGATTTTTGTATTGCCTTTTTTATTGCCTTACTAGAAAACTCTGTTGGGTATATGATGGAGTTTACTAGAACTTTACAGCTTGCTGTCTGCCTTCTTCTACAAACTTCACCAAATCGAGACGCTGTCAACCTTATCCTCGGATGAAGGCGCCACAAAGTACAGTCCTGTGATTCGGTGACTTGTTTGATCTTCAAAATCTCGTCCCTAAAAATTCTTGCTTAGCAACCTCCAAATCAATGTCGTTCATGTCAGGTTTTTGACAGAATTCGATATAAAACTATTAATTTTCTTTGGAATTGCTATCCCAATTGTTAGTTATTTTTATAACAGCTTTTTTTGGCCTGAGTTTCTTTTCAAGATTCTTGCGTTTGAGTCTTTGTTCCATCTTAGCGATAAGCGAGGTTGGACTAAGCTTAGAACGCAAATGTATTTTGACCACATAGACAGGCCGCTGGGTATTGTGGCTCACTACAGCTGCAGCACATCTTCCATGGTATGACCTTTTCTTGCAGTAATTTATTCGCTTACTCCCCTATGTATTTTGCGATTATAGAGTTGAACTGCTTCACACTATTGTTGACCTCATCATGAATTAACTCACTACATTCGTAATTAAAATGGTCGCATATGACCTTTCATTGTCCATTATCAACCTTGTTAAAAAAAGGCACTCAAGAAGAATCACACCAACAAGAGTACAGCACTACAATTCAACAATACAATATCGATGAACACTAACAAGGAGAAAAAATACTAAATGATCACTTGCTGAGTACCAAAATAGGAAACTATTTACAGGCTAGATCGCTAATCGAAATCCGACTCTGTTATTATAAAAATTTACCTTGGTATGCACCCGCAGTCATCCTTTCCTCTTTTAAAGTAGCGCCGACGACCGTCTAGGGGCCCACCCTCGTTTCCTTTTAGATCAAGAGCAACCTTAAATGTACTGAGATAACACCATCGGCGGCATTTTTTAGTTGTTACTGCAATTCGACAAATTTCAATACATACATGTTTTCATCTTCAGGGCCGGTTTTCTTGTTCTTTACTTTAAACTCAATACATTTTCAAAACGCTTAGCGAATTATGTCGTGCACTATGTGCGTGCAATAAAAGCGTATTCACGTTGCTGTGCGAACGCTTTAAGCTCAATCCGCATGGAAACTTGACAACGGTGCCAACACAGTTTCGTCAGCCTATCCTGGTCTATCCTTGACAGATTTTGTAGCACGGCTGACGACAAATTACTTGTCGATAATCCCCCATGCTTGTCTAGCCAATCAAACTACATTGTATGTTTAAAATTCTTCTTTATTGTATACGTTTGACAATATTTTATTTATCAGTCTTCCAGACGACACTTCGTTTGTCAAAAAATGTCGTCAACTAGGTATAGTCTATACTTCTCACGCCACGCTATCATCAGTTCGTTTAGGCTTATGTCCAGCACAAGTTAGTCCTTCTCAGAAAAAAGATAGCTACGAACATGTATATCAAAAAATTAAATGACTCTTCCCCTCCTCCAAACAGAAATTTCTGAGGACGCACATGATCGTTGCTATGACTAATCCCGCGTGGATGACCACAATGACTTTCTCAGCATACAGCCCACAACAGCACGGAAGCGACTGCCGGATCACGGCACGTATCGACTCGCGACTGTTGGAGATATTTCAGTGTACGGGGAGATCCATGATTAGTGAATTATGTCTATTACGTGCATAAAATTACTGGGGTTGGAGGCGTATAAATATACCAACGTAAAAAAATTGATACATACCCTGCCTCACCGCGTGCAGTCCCTACCCCCAATTTTTAACCTCTACAAAAATTTTCCAAAAAACGTCAAAAAACGAAGTTTGACCGTTTTTTTTTTTCATTTCAGGCCCTTTTTCTCTGCCGCCACTGAACCGATTTTGAAAAACTAGCTTTTCGCCCTTGTCATAAAAGTAACTGTGTGTGGAAATTTCATCCAAATCCGAACGGTACTTTCCAAATTATAGACCGACCAAGTATTAGCGGACAGACAGAAAGTCCGACACAGACCGAAAGACAAACAGACCGACGAAAATGAGTGAGATGGTTCGTGATGTGCATTTTATATCTGTCAAAAAAACATCTCATTTTTGAAAATGTTCGCGCTTAAAATACTTCGTCGCCAGTAGGAATGGAAAGTAAAACGTGTCAATTGTACTGAAGAAGGTTACTGTTGGGACCGAAACGTATACATTGAATAGGAATTTTAAACACATGTTTGTTTGGCCAGACAAACATCTAAGATCCTTGCAATATCTTAGAACTGTTAGGGTGAATCAAAACGGAGTAGTCATTGTTGGAGCTTCGCACTGACTTTGTGAAGGTCGGATTGTCGGACCGGGTATCATCGGAGTCAACAAAGTTCGTATTTGCTTTTGAAACATATTTATGGTGAGCCCAACTCACCTCCATAACATCTCCTGTCAACCTAACAGTCCTGGCAGTGTCCGAAGGATGGGGCGCTGATCCATCCGGTCCTAGCTCAATGAGCAACGGCACTCCAGCTTGGTGATGGTGATGGTGGCTGCCCGCGCCGCCCGCCCCTGATTGCTGGCCGCCCGCGATGCCGCCCAAGCTACCCCCGCCGCCGCTGCCACCGCTGCCCCCAGGTTTCTTCTTGCGCTTACGCGGCGCCATGTCCGCCGGACGACGCCGAACGTGGAACATTATGGAGCCTGAAACAATTATAAGCCAGGTGAGAATCGATGAATACACGTGGAACTGCAGCATTCGATTACTCAAAAAACTGATAGACAGTTATGGAGTTTGTAGTATAACAGCGATTCGGTTAAAATATTGTCAAAACGGTGGCACCTTCAGTTGTACCGGAAATAGATACCAACTTGCATATATTGAATAGAACGCCCTGTATATTATTCAATGTTCTGATTCTACGAGAGACTCTAAATTCGTTTCATTTATATCAGTCCATAGCCATGTGTGACCGTTTTTTAGATGTCTCAAATTTTACGCAAAAAAACAACAAATGCAGACGAATTATTTATTAATTTTTTTTTTTTCGTAAACTTGCCTTTGCCAGAAGATTAGTGATGAGTTTCTTATGGTAGGAGACCCAATTTAGCAGATTTTATTACAGATTTAAGAATGAAACAGTTCAGGGTGGTCACAAAATAAAGTTTCAAGAACAGAGAAGGTCAATTCTTCAAATAAAAACTATGTTTTTATCATTTCATCTCCGCAAACTACTAGTATTGGTTTTTCTCTTGCTTAAACGCTCCATATGACTTTTTCGATCAGTTAATTGCCAATGTTTCAGTTTATCTCTCTTCTGGACTTTCTGAAATCTAATTTTCAATCTCATTTTTTGGCCACCCCACTGTGTCATCTAAATGTGGAATAAAATCTATTAAAGTAGGTCCCCTACTACAACAAATTACAATTCATATGGCGAAGGCAAATATACGAGTAAAAAAAAAACGTTACAAATATTGAAAAATTTGAATTTGAATATTGAAAATAATTACTACGAGTATTACCCATAAGTCAAAATTTTCATAACGGTCTCACTTTTTGAGTAATTGATCGCTGCCGTTCTATGTTGGACACCCTGGTTGAGAAATGAGTATATTCATATAGATAAGTCGAAAAATGGAAGAGTAGCGCAACGCATTGTACGCCATTGATTACGTGGTGTGTATTTTAAACATATATGCTCGTCCATTTTAGCACTTGTTTATAGGAATTCAGCAGCCACAAGAATACATAAGTATTTATTTTTTATCTAAATGACTAAAAACATGAAAAACTCCAATATATGATAGACCACGGAAATTAACATAGATTTTTGTAATTATGTCTAAAAAGAATACATGCTGGACATATGTGAAATTTCAATATCACAGTCACAGTATGCAGGTAACCTATAAAAGATTTAGGACTTCCTGGTTAAATTCCACTACAAATTTAATGAAACATGTTTGTTGGTGGTGAAATAATTATTGAGTGATCTAAATATCCCCCATTTTATTGTACAGAGTGCGGCGGAGGATGGACGGTTTTAAAAAAATCATCAATCAATAGTTATTTTTTACTCGAAAACAAATTTATTGATGGAATCAGGTTCACAAGGAAATGGCATTTGAGACAGTCAAGTGTGGAAAATCACATTGGGCATTTGGTGGCCGAAATCGTTGATGCAGTGCTGGAGGCGTTCTTGGAAGTTCGCGTAGACTCTCTCCAACAGCGCTCTCTCAACTTGAGCGACTTCCACGCGAATTTCGCAGAGATCCATATGCAAAATTCACCTTACCGAACAATCACTAAAGCGAAGTGCAGCAGCATGTTTCCGGGCAGATCGAGTCGGACTGCGAAGAAAGACCTGTCGAACGCGTTCAACATTTTCAGGAGTTCGAACTGTTCGCGGCGCTCCTCTTGGTCTTCTGTTGATCAGTTCATCACGCCTGCGAAGTGATTCAACCCAACGAAGGATGGTGTTTCGAGAGGGAACAGCTCTATTCCGATGAATGTTGAAGTGGCGACGAAACTCACGCTGTACGGCGATGACTGACTCATTATTTCGGACGAAACAATCATAGGCGAAAACGCGGTGCTCCACCGTCCAAGGCTCCATAACGACAACTGGTAAAATAATGCTAGGATCTCACGAGTCAAACGGCACCCTCCCCACCTCTCTCGTAAACGGAGGCGGAGAGTACTACCCCTCCCAAAAACGTCCGTCCTCTCTGCCGCACCCTGTATATACTCATGGAACTTGAGAATCGGATCTTGGATAACGCTGAGAATAACACCAATTTTGCGACCGATATTCCTCGCAGTATTAATATAAACCTTGATCTTGGATACCTCACAGCAAGCGTCAGAGGATGTCAAATCTGATGATTGTGGTTAACATCCAATATTACTAAAGGAATATTCAGATACATATCACGAAGTGGTTAAGCAAGATGAAACTACCAACCAATGAATAGGAGAAGCAGTCAATTACGGTCAGAGAGGAAGTTAGCCACCCATCTGCAAAACTATATAGATAGATTTACTCTAGTTGCGTGACGTAAGCTAGGAGGTCTCCCGTGGATCGCTGCTGGTGCCTGAGACCATTCTGCCTGGGCTAATCAAGCTGTGACGTTCAAGGTATTCCAGAAGAAGCAGCCGATTGCATGCACATCTCCACTTATAACAGAAAGCAGCGCTATAGACCTGTAGTTGTAAGAGTCAGTCTTAGACCGTCTTGGGTTTTCTGGAAAGGTGACTGTTTAGTAAGATATCCGGCAAAGCCGCGAAAGACCTGGAGCACGCTCAGCTGTACACCTCATCAATACAACGGCATGAATCAAGTCCGGACCAGAAGCTTTGTTGATGTCGAGCGACAAGATTACCAGTCTTACGGACGTAAGCCTGAATGTTACTTCCTGCATAGTGCAGGGCACCTTTTGAATCGACTGGGCACGGGTGCTGGGTCCATGATGGAGATGGTAGCAAAGATCTTGGCAAGCGGAATGTAATAAAAAAAATCAACATTGCAGTTCACATTTCACGGGCTACAGCTTAAACAGCTTGTTGGGTTTTGACATAACACATGAGGCGTTGTTGGATTCGTCTTAGTAGTGCGAGTGAGAATGGCTATATTGATATTTTATAAAAGCAAAATAGCAGACTTTAATAGATTAGTTCAACTATGAAATTCCTAAATCACGGGTAACACATTGAACGGCTTGGATTTTGATATATGAGGTGTCTCTAGATTTCTCTTGACAGCACAATCAAATCTCCATTCTTTTCAGTTTCTGCAGTCAGATTGATCGTATTTCAAAAATATACTTTTCTTATTTATTTTAAACTTGTCCTAAAAGACATTTCTATAAATTAAGTTTGCTCAAGTACAGTCGAAATGCGGCAATAAGGAAACAAACGTTTTTTGTTGCTCTGCTGTTTACTCACATCCATGGAAGTACGTAAGTAAACAAAAACATAACAGTCGCGTGTTCAACGACCGCTGCAAGTGTGTAAAGCGACGTCTTTATGAGAGATCGGGCGTGTATAAAGACGCCATTCAATCCCGAGAAAAATCAAGGAAGAAGCTGAGAGTGAGGAGTGTCTGCGTGTGACTGTCGATGTCATGCCGTCAAAGGCCCTTTCGGTCCGCTGGCTGACCGCATAAAGGGAAGCTTTCATAACTGTCAAACCGAGTTTCAAGCGACGATAGATGAGGCAATATGCTCCCAAGGAACGACGACAGATTCGCCGGTGAATGGCGACAGTGGTGTAACGTTCACCGAGGAAGCCATCAAACAAGTTGTTTTTTTTTTATATCAATAATATGTTCATGTATTTATTTGTCATTAGCCATCCATACCCATATGCTCTTTCGCGCGGAAAATCATGCGGCGTCTAAAAAACGTGTGTGAACACATTGATTGGATGTTAGTGGGCGTTGCCACATCATGACCAGATGGGAAAGGATTTTAAGCGCTTTTACCTCCAACGCCTACTGGCGAGGAAGTATTGTATTTAGCAAGCAGTCTTATGTATGTCGACGTCAAACGCTGAAATCCGTCATTCCCTGAAATGCCTAGTCAGTTCCCGTATTGCCAGCAAACACCGTAACAGTTTGATTATTACAACGTTTGACTAAGGATTTCAGTTATTCCCGGTAATGACTGAACGATTTCAGTCAAACACCGAACAACCACATGAACCTCGTTACTGCATTTGCCTGATTCATTCATTCACTGTACCAGTTTTGTGTTCCTTTGCTTGAGTATACACATCGTCTTTTCTGTGTTTGTAAAGATGTCGCAGCATTCAAAATTGTTTTACAAGAAACTAAGTGAATACTATGACAGTGTGAATAAGAAAAAAACATGGAATACAAATGAATTAAAAGAGATAAGTTAATTTTTATAATTTTGTGAACCTAACCTAAATTATAACGTATACAGGGTGTTTCAGTTTATTGTTGCATAACTTTAAGATTCGATAGAACTTTTAAAATTAATGCATAAAGTCTATATAAACATGGGTCGAAAAATAGTTTTTTTTAAATATTTCGAACAATATTTGATGTATAACAGTGAAAATTGGTATACAAGGGTTTTTTGGTACGATAAAACGAACCATGGGCATAGTTTTACTGTAGCCGCTAGAGGGCGCTCTCTACTGTACCTGTAGTGTATTAAAATGACCGAAAAAAATTTCGTAGTGCAATTTTTTGTTTTTTGAATAAAAAAAAATGATTCTTCGCACTTTTCAACATAAAAAAGCTCTCTCTGTGAATTTTCGTTATAGTTAACCGTTTTTGAGATATTTCGATTTTTAAGGTTCGATGCGTTTTTAATTATTTATGATAAAATAACGTTAAAAAGTCGATAATTTTTAGAAGTAGGCTGTGCCTGCAAATATTTTTGAAATTGAAAGCAGAATAAGGTTAAACTTCAATTAGTTGACAGTTAGTTTTGTTGTCTGTTGAAACCTGAAACGTTTTTTGCAATTGTGAATGCACGAAATTTAGTTTCTTTTACCTGTTTTTTTTTTGTAAGTTTTATAACAATGCTATTTTTATTCTCCAATCAAGAGTTAGCGGATATTCATTTTGTGTATGGCTTTGTAAATGGAAACGCAGCAGAAGCAGCCAGAGAAACGCACGAAGATTTCCAAACAGACGACATCCAACTCGCTCAGTATTTGTAAGAGTGCATCGCCAAATAATTGAAAATGGTTTTGGAAATCTTCAATGGGATCAAAACATAAATCGTCGTCAGCGCAGATTTACTCGTATGATTCAGCGTGAGTTTGATAGAGATCCGACCA